TCCTCTCTGCTCAGCATAAATGTTGCATTGAAAACAGAAATATTTATCTTTTATCTTATTAGCATACAGACGGCTCTATAGTAAACATACTTCAAGGCACTAGAAGCATCCCTTTTACAAGTTGATACTCACTGGAAGCCACTGATCTTATTAATGTGTGTTCTTGGACAGTATCTTTATGAAGGGGAAAATGCCTAATCTTCCAGCAATATTTAAACAGACTAATAGGCCGACTCTTTATTACAAATGCAGACCGAAGAATGCCCTCTTTGCTTCTATCACATAATTAAGTGTTCACGGGCTTAGGATTCTCATTATGTTACCTCAGCAACTTCCTCCCCGTCACTTCTTATCAACTGTCAGTGCTGCTGCTTCTGTAGCATGTATTTTTGCTTTTGGACGTGTTGTCAGATCCAAATAGGAAATGGTTGGCTTTCTGGGCACGTTTCTACCTATTGTACCTTTAGAATGTAACTCCAATATGCACAAGTTGAGCCACCCAATCATAACCTCATTTCAGTGGACTGAATCCCCGGCTGTTGGTAGGTTCAAGTCTCATACTGAAGGGCTGTCTCCAATCTTCCTAGCAGTTTGACTTTGTACAACTTCACCCTTCCTTTGTTCAATGAATTCTACAGAAACTGGTGTGACTTGATCGTAGCAGATTGGAACAGACTTCATTGCATTTATATTAGCCAAGAAAAAGATGCTTTTATCCTACAAGATATGTGTTAAAAAAAGCCATTAACCTCCAGGCCTGACTGAAGTTTCTGTATCAGGTCCTGAATGTTGAAAGTTGCAGCATCTTCATTTGGAGGACAAACAGTAGAACCCTTCTTTGAATTAACACAAGTTGTAGCCGCCTGCATGTGGCTCCTTTTAGGTACATGCTCTGCTTCCAGATGTCTGTAAGAATTATTGGCTGCAATGCTTTCCCCAAGCCTATTTGGGGAACAAACATTCACAAAAGAAAGATGCATTCAGGAGTAAGGACATGTAATGACAAAGTATATACAATAATGTTTAAGAAGGATGTAGGGCCAAAAACTATCAGCAACAGTAAACGCTTCAGGAAAACAGTAACACAAACATTAATGTGAAAGAAAGAATCTCACGCTATGGCAGGAAAATCTGGTAATGGGGCCGCTTCAAAGAGTATTTTGAGTCCCGCTTGAACTTGTTCTCTGTGGTCTGAAGTTAAAGCAAAAGCCAAAGGCGAAACCAAATGTTGATCCTAGACACAAATTGCTTGTTAGTTCATAGAATTAGTTTCTTTATAAAGACAGACAGCAGGAAAGGGAAGCACATAAAAATAAAATGATTTATACATTCACTGTATCTATGTACTCTTATGATAGAAAACTAGATTTCATTGATCACAAGTACTTTTTCCAGTGAAAAGATTAGCACATACCCCTTATCATCTTTGTTGTTCCTTACACCCAAGAATTAAAGTGAGGGTTACCAGATCTGTTCATTCACTACCACGGGAAACAACAATGGTGTACATTACAGAAACTAGATACTGTTTTGATACAGTTACACCACTGCACCATAAACAATCTTTAATTCAATTTCATTTTTACATCAGACTAGAGTTATTATTTGAACTGGGGGTTGGTGCGACCTCATATTTTATCTACATGATTTTCATAAATATATTCTCTCTGAACTATTTGGGAAAAGTAAGCTATAGTACACATGTTTTCAAAATCTATGACTGACCACAAATATTTATAGCTTGCTAGAACTGAGAGCCACCACTCAAACACACATTATCTCAATGATTTAGACACAAAACTTACCTGAAGAACTTTGTAAAAACTGACTTCCATACTAGGAACCAGCTGCTTAAGCTTGCTCATAAGATCCAGTGTTTTTAATACTACATCAGCAGCAAGTTTGCTAGAAAAGTGACAAAAAACCACATTCAGTGTACATATCAAAAGCTTCTACCATCGAATCTTTTGTTTTCAGCTTGGGATGTTTTAACTATTAATGTAAGCTTGTAAAAGTGGGATATATTTTAAGGAATAAATCATTCCAATAGGGTGTATTTTTTGATGAAAAAGAGGTTTCTTTGTAATAATGAGCAAAGGGAAATTTCTAAATTGAAGTTGGCTTAAAACAAGAATTACAAGTTCTTAGCTACAGAATATAGCAATTTCAGACAATAGCTCTGTAAAGTTTTATTGTACTACATATGTGGTGATCCCTTCACTTGCTGATGCGTGCCCCTGCCGCAACTTGGGAAAGGAAGACATGCACGCGATTTGGATTCGCAAAAGCCATTTAAAGGGAACTGTCCCTTCCCTCCCTGAGTCACGCCACAGAAGCGGCACATCTCAATGAGGGAAGCTATTTAAAGAGACATCCCTTCCATTGCTGCCACTGAGACGCAACTAAAGGAGGGAAGTTATTTAAAGTTTAAATACCTT